AGAAAACGATACCGCCAGAGGTCTTGGTAAGCGATGTCGTTTAGATAAAAACTATACCACAGCGGGTTGGGTTTTGGCGAGGGCGGCCTGGCAAGCCCAACGACACCGCAAGATGAGAAAACGATACCGTTTGGTAGAGAACAATGTCGCGGAATGAAAACGACATTGTTCGATGGGACCGGGACAGAGCAGTTCAAGGTCGACATCAATTAGTGAAAAGCGATGCCGCGGAAAGATTAAACGGCGCCGAAGGATAAGAATTTGACCGCGTGACAATAATGAGTCGGTTTAATTAATTAATCTGTTTAATAATTATTTTAGACGGTGTTGTTTGGGATAAAAATGACGCCGCGAGAGAAAAGGACACCGCAAGTAAGCCCGACAATGCTGCGGTACGTGAAATATTAAATTAATGCGGTGTCGCAAGGCTAAAAATGCCGCTAGTTAAACAACATCGCAGCGGAGATCGATGTCACGCTCGCAAATTCAGCGGTGTTGCGAGTTCGACAACACCGAGAAATTAACGATGTCGCAAGGCCAAAACAACATCGTGGAGCTCAATGACGTCGCGAGCTTGACGGTGTTGCAAGCTGAGCAATACTGTGAATGGGTTCAACGACGTCGTTATGGAAAGTTTGTTGGTGGAGGCGTAAACGATGCCGCGGGCTCATGAAAATAACGGACTTATTTTCTTGCACGTGAGATTTGGGAGTGAAGAGAAGATCAAAGCAGTTGATGACTACGACACCGTGGAGAAGAGTGAAGACACGTGGGAGTTTATGATGGAGGAGCTGAGGAAGCAGTTCCACGGAGTGTGAAAACTACGCAAGTGATTTGAGATAAAATCACCGGAGCAAGGAGAGAGAGACAACCAAAAAATCAACACATATAAACTCTGTTCAAACTTTACCTTTTCTCTGTAATTCCGTGGAGCTCTCCTTTCAGGAAGGATCTCCATAGTCGTAGCAGTAGTCGTAGTTGCGGAGCTCTCCACAGGAATCTCCACAGGAGTAGTTTTAACGTAGATTCCCCAAGAACTCAAACACCCTCGTTCGAACAATGTTTGGAGAGGTGTGAACCGTAGTAATGGTCGCATTGGTTAGAAGTCAGAGGTGCATCGATTAAATCAACACCGCCCGGTGGATATTTGACGATTGTCTTCGTTTTCAGAAGTCAGTGTTGCACCGATCAAACGACGGTGGATATTTGATGGTCTTCTTGATTTTTGCAGTCGGTGGTGCGTCCGATCAAACGACACCGCAAAGGTTTCCACATCGAAAGAATCAAATCGACACCGCCGGAAACAAATTCGGCACCGGTGGTGGTATTTGGTTTTCGCGGGAAACACCCACAACCCTGATTTTGTCTTCTCTAGAGATTCTGAAAGCAAAGAAACAAAAATAGGTTAAAGAATAAGTATTAATCATTAAATAAAAGATCGCTGGTACGGAATATTTGCAAACCAACTCTCAAAGTTAGGGGTGGTAATCGGTAAACCGGTATTCGGTATCGGTATTCGGGTTTATAATTTTCCATTCGATAATACCGGATAATAGCCGGTAAATATCGATGGTATACCGGTATACCGTAATACCGAGTATAGAACACTAGGTAGATCATAGATTTGGCTGCTGCAACGAAACTAACTATCCAAAGAATGACAAAACCAGACCATTTACTCCGTCCCGCAATTACCTATTAGCATACAACCAACTGTTTACTTCATCTTGTTACATGAAAAGCAAAGAAATTTCTCCTTATAAATAGTAATAAAAAGTGAATTCTAGCTCTCATCATCACCTTATATAAGTGCAGTGGTCGCCTGTCCGAAGCCAACGGTTTTAACTCGAAACAGAGTGAGACAGAGAAAAAGAATGGGGAAGAGATTCCAGTTGCCCAAGTTCTCCCGAGTTATCCCATCATCATTCCACTACTGCCGTTCCAAAAACCTCACGACACCTATCCTTCCCATCCCGCCCCTATTTCCTCCTTCCACCGCATTGTCTCCTCATCCGCCTCCGCCACCGTGATATGATCCCAAATGGTCCATTGTACACGTTTAAATTACTTTACGAAGAAGCTATCGAAGTGGGGAAGAAGAAAGGCAGAATTTGGCTAAGTCAAAATCCGTGTTCAGGGTACATACTTTGGAGGCATGGTTCTCTCAATTGGCTTGGTGGAAATTCCAGTTCAAGGGTTTGTTTTACAGAAAAGGTTTCCATGTTTCCAATGGTATACTTTGTGGATCCAGAAGATGTGATTAAGGTTGTTTTCCAAGGCCTCAAAGTTGCTACCTCAAAACTGGAAAACTGCCAGAAAATGGCTAAGGCAGAAAACTGTTTTGTGAAGCCTACTTTGGAGCTCAATTCGAGGAGTATGGATCTGATTCAAGTCCAAAGGCTTCCACAACATGCAACTAGGTATGTTTGTGAACAAATGGAAGGAATTGGATGAAGAATTGGAGTTCGGGAAGGCCTTCAACAAAAGGCGCGAAGTTAGTACGAAAGCTGCCTTTTGACTGTTTTCCGGGCAGCTTACTTGTGCTTGAAGAAAGAGAGTTTAAATCCGAATTTTGTGTCCTTTTTAGTGTAGACTTTTACCTTAATTTTTTCCTAGTTATATTAGGTTTGTATTAGGTTTTATTGGCTATAAATAGCCTTTTATTTCGTTGTAAAAGAGAAGACTTTGATTAATCAAATTGAGAACCTTTTGGTTTTTGTGCAAGTTGCGACTTGTGTTGAGTTTGGTGGATTCCAAGCTCGTGAGCTCTTGTATCGATTGAATAGTCACTTCAATCGTGGTCGGGCATCTACCTTCTATACCAATCGAGCGTTCCCCAGGTGTGGAATCGTCCTTTTGGTTCCGTTTTATCCCAAGTTCGTATTAAGAGCGCTTCGTTCTTGATTCGAGCTCAATCGATTCTTCGATTGAGTCGTTGCTGCGTTACTTTGATAAAAATACACCCTCCAGGGTCGTATTACACCGCCACGCATCCCCTGCCCCCTCCGCCAGATCATCCCAACATCACCAGGTTTTTTTTCTTTTCCCGTGGTATCATCCCAACATCACCAGGTTTTTTTTCTTTTCCCGTGGTATCAAGTTCTTAAATGCATGTTTTATTTACCCTTGATTACAATGTGGTTCACTTGGTGGGAGGGTTTTGTGACTCTCTCGCTTTCGCTTTTACTGGTTGTAACATGTGTGTTGGCATCACATCAGTCGTTAGTTTATGTATGGTACGGGTGACAAATGACAAAACATACTATGTATTACCCGGTATTCGGTATACCGATATTAATACCGAATACCGACTATTCGGTATTCGGCATACTGGTTAACATTCGGTATTGGTATTCGGTGGGTATACTGTCTGTTTCCGGTATACCGAATACCGGGTAATCTGTATCCGGTATACCGGATACCGACCGACTACCCGCCCTACTCAAAGTCAATGGACCTAAATCCCCCCGTCACTGACTGTTATTGACGAGTAAAAAGAAGTCTGCGACCCTGCCAAAAGGAGAAAATCAAAATACAAAGCAATTGACTGCTAGGTGGTACGCAGGAAGTAAGAGAAGGCAGAGAGTCAAAACAATGAAGGAAGTGAAGGTAATGTAGCAGAGAGATCGGAGAAGAATGTAGAGCACAACTAGGGTTTTAATTAACTTGGACGGTTGTGATTAAGACCCTATATAACTAAATGGTTTAGATGAGACGGAGTTATGTGTTGGTTCACAGGAGTAAAATTATTATCGAATTTTATTCGGGAGTTAATGGTGCAAAAGAATAATAGTTGAATTGGTAAAATTGTATTTGTAGAATGTAATATCTTTCCTTTTTCTCTTCTCAATTAAAGGTGTATGAGGCGTTTGGTTAGATGAGCCACTGTATAATAAATTGCATTGTTCATGTACTGTATACTGTTAATTTGGTTTATGGTTTTAAGGTGTCATTGTTTAGAGTTTACCATTTTTATCAGAGTGGCTATAGGTTTTAGCCGTGTGTGCATTATGTTTTTCCTAAATATTTCCAAAGACAATACAAATTCACATAAATATTCTTCTATTATCACTTTGTCAGTAGTGTGAGTAATGTTTGTTATTACCGACAATATAAATTTATTCGTTATTAGAGGTGTGCAATCGGGATCAAATTCGTGAAAATTATGGTCCAATAGTAAAAGTCTAAAAGACATCTTAGGATACTAACCTTCAAATAAATAGCAATGATTCAGTAGAATAATCTCAAACAAACAATAATGGGCTAAATATTACTTGCGACACAATTGCAATCATCACATAATAATGACGTTGAAATTTTTTCATACAAAAATGGACTAGGTGACGTATTTTTTTCGTCTTTACTGACGTCATATAAATTTTTTCACAAATACACAATCACTTGATGAAACATTACTGACAACAATATTTTATTCATCGGGAAAAATGGTGGCGCCCAAACTTTCCTCCAAATAAGGAGCTTAGTGATGATTTTTTATTATTTACCGATGAGGTTAGTTTTTGTCGCAAATACAAAGCTAGTTGACGAAACATTACTGATGACAATTGAATTTTATAAGTAAAAATAATTGTTAGTGACGAACTTCGGCTCTCGTCGCTAATAAGTTGTAAGAGTTAAAGAACTGTCGGAAGGGAATAAAACTCCCTAACCTGGGGCAGTCTTGAGGTACCGGAGCACACGATGGGCAACTATGACATGTTCAGGAAGAGGAGCATGAACAAACTGGCTCAGAATGATAACAAAAAAGGTGATGTCTGGGTGTGTGACAGTGAGATATAAGAGGCGCCCGACGAGACGGCGATAAGAGCTCGCATCGACGACTTCGTCAGTGTTAGATCCGAGACGAGTGAGAGTGTGATTCTACTTAATGGGAAAAGAACTGGGTCGAGCACCGACAACACCTGCGTCGTTCAGAATATCCAAAGTATACTTACGCTGACCGAGTACATTCCCGATCGGAGAACGAGCTACCTCAATACCCAGAAAGTACTTAAGGGGACCAAGGTCTTTGATGCTGAATCGATCGTGAAGGAAAGACTTAACCCGAGAGATGAAATTTATATCATTACCCGTAAGCACAACATTGTCCACATAAATAAGTGTTGCGATTAAGGTGGCACCGCGGTGATAAAGGAGAAGGAAAGGGTCAGCCCGAGAAGCAACAAATCCTAGCTCGATAAGTGCTAGAGTGAACTTGTTATACCATTTTTGGGAGGCTTGACGGAGACCATACAGAGACCGATGCAGTCGGCGAACGCGATTGTCACCCTTTGCAGCAAAACCATGAGGCATCTTCATATAAACTTCTTCCCGAAGATCGCCGTGAAGGAACGCGTTGTTGACGTCAAGCTGGTGGAGAGGCCAACCTTTTACTAACCACAACAACAATGAGAACACGAACGGTAACAAACGTTTCTACAAGAGCGAAGGTATCATGAAATTCTACACCTTCAACCTGTGTAAAGCCCTTGACGACAAGACGCGCCTTGTAGCGCTCCACGGAACCATCATGATGATACTTGATCTGGTAGACCCACTTGCAGTCGATGGCCCACTTGGCAGGTGGTAAGAATTTCAACGGCCACGTACCATTAGCTTCCAAAGCCAGGATCTCCTTGATCATCGCCTCGCGCCAGCAAGCATACTGGACGACTGTATGAAAGTGAGGAGGTTCAACAACTTGAGTGATAGTAGCGAGGAAGGCACGATGCGAGTAAGTAAAACGGTGATAATTCACATGGTTGGAAATAGGATAATTAGCGGCATGAGAAGAAGACCCGGGAAATCAACATCATAAATGGCGAGCTTTGCTGGCGGCCGCCGATCACGATCACCTTGGCGGGGCACAAGAGGCAGTGGCGGAGTGGGTTTGAGCTGAATAGGAGAGGTAGCATCATTACCACCGGGTTCCTCCTCGTCACCATCAAGACTAGAGGTGGCAATTAGGATCCAAATCCATGAATCCAATCCAATCCATCCACCAAATTATCCACCTAATCCAATCCATTTAAATCCAATCCATTTGATCCAAATCCAATTGGATTGGTGGATTCATGGATCAATCCATAGATCCAAATGGGAAATTACGATTTGGTACCTATATTTTTTATATTTTACATTTTGGTACCTAAAATTTATATTTTTATACGAAAAATATCATTGGAAAATTACATTTTGGTACCTAAAATTTTTCATTATGACATTTTAGTACCAAAACTTTTCAAATTTTACATTTTGGTCCAAGCCTTGGATGTCATTTGGATTTATGGATCAATCCACCAATCCATGAATCCACCAATCCATTGGATCCAATCCATTTGATCCATGGATCCACCAATCCAATCCACGAATCCACGAATCCGATCCAATTGCCACCTCTAATCAAGACCTTCATGCGTTGCCTCGTTACTGTGCCCTCCATGCATGCCATGCAAAGGAGCAGTGGGGTCGTCGCCCATGTCAAAGCTCTCTCTGACGTCCTCGACCGTATTCAAGCAATCCACCATCAACGGATCAAGCTCCCCCTCAAAATCAGCAACCGAAGGGAGCGAGATGGGCTGGGAAGTAGTAAGGGGAGTCGACGAGACAAGCTGGCAAAAGGAGATCATATATATGCGCTGCAAGGTGAGATCATATATCTTGTAACCCTTCTGAGAATGAGGATACCCAACAAAAACGCCATGATGTCCTCGTTCGACAAATTTATCCAAACCCGAGCTGGTATCCTTAGCATATGCTAAGCACCCAAACGCACAGAGATGAGTAAAGGAAGGAGCACGACCCAACAAGAAGATGGCAGTGTTTACACTCACACAAAAAACGAACAGGAAGACCCGTGTGAAACCGTAGAGCCCAAGCAATATCAAGATGGTGGCGGTGTTTACGCTCAACCACCCACCCCATTTGCTGTGGGGTATTAACGCAAGAGGTTTGGAGGAGGATGTCATATTCGGCATAGTACAATCGGAGAGAGGAAGTCTGAAACTCCATCCCGTTATCTGCCTGGATCCGTTTAACGGGATGATCAAATTGAGTGACAACCATCTGTCAGAAGGAGTGAATATACTGCTCGACATCAGATTTGTACTAATTAAGAAAATAAACGCAAGTGGCTCTGGTAAAATCCTCAACACAGTAAAGAAAAACCGAGAACCATCCAAGAAAGGGGGTCTTATATCCCCCCAAATATTCACATGAATCAACTTGAAACAGCCACGAGTTGTAATAGAACTGGAAGGAAAACTGGGTATGTCTCTTTTTCTCGCAAACAAGAATCACAATACATCTTAACCAAACAAGAATCTTTCGAACCAAGAATACTACGCAACAAGGTATGTTTCTCAATAGAGGGATGGCCCAAATGTTGATGCCAAAGAGAGTGCTCATCACAACTAGCGGCAAAAGCTTCTACCCCACGACCCGGAATAGAAAACGCCACCCCACCCTGCTACGGGTAGTAGAGACCATCACGGAGGCGGCCCAGTCCAATCACTGTCTTGGAACGTGAGTCATGGATGATACAAAAATCAACCAAGGTTACCAAAGCAACAACATTATCTTGCATGAGGCGGCTAACAGACAGGAAATTGCATTTAAACTCGAGAACATAGAGAACACGACGTAAGGTAAGGCGATCATTTAATGTCACGGAACCCACGCCTTCAACAGGCTTGCCTTGATCTGAGGGGAAACCAATCAACCGGTAAGACATCTCCTTGGTGTGCCCTAGCTTGCGGCAATGACTGCAACGAGTGGGACCCATAATAAAGGATAACCAAAAATACACGCCAACAAGAATCCCTCGAATGGGTAGCTATAAAATTCTCATATGTGGTCACTACTCACACATATGATGGCGGTTTTGGTGCTCGTTTTGAATCTTATGAACAAAGGCTTTAAATTTGGGTAAGCTCTATCTTTTACCTAGAGAAGTCATCTAGGATAACAACTTAGTATATCCCACCAAAGCTTATAATATTTGACGGTACAAACAAGTCCATATGAAGTTATTATAGGTGTCAAAACAGAACCCGACCCGAGTAACCCGCCCGTTTAACCCGATCCGCAACCCGCCCGCAACCCGAATTGACTTAAAGTCAATGACCCGTAACCCGCCCGACCCGCAACCCGACTAGCCCGCAACCCGATTGGCCCGCAACCCGACTGACCCTCAACCCGATTAAACCCGAACCCGATTGACCGACAACCCGATTGACCCAAACCCGATTAACCCGAACCCGCCCGATTGATCCGAATAATTGCTATATTATATAACATATAGTCTTTCAAAATGAAAATTTTGGTTCTAAACCAAGGCAAAACCATTTTTCCATTTCTCTAGGTGATGTTCAAAATCTAAAATTCATTTAAAATGATGTAGTTTTAATAAAATTACAAAAATTAAAACATGAAATTCAGTTGAACATTAAGTTCATCTTGCAAATTACAATTATGTGCAATGTATTGAAAACTTGGAGTGATCTAGTTGGTTAAATGAAAGTGTGTCTGCTAGCAATCTTTTACTGGTAAAATGATTTTTTTCCTAGATAAAAATAAATTAACTTTAGTTGATATCATTTAACAAACCGTATTAAATCTCTAAACAAACTCTTAAAAAAAATTATTTGATTCTCTAAGTAGCAGTAGCTGTAGCTTTGATCATTACACTTTGAGAGTATGAAAAAATACAAATGGGTCAATTATACATCCAAAAGTGATAGAAAATACAATATGATGCAAATCAATTTGCTATAAACATCCATTTACACCAAGAACATTCTCAACAACAAGCATCAAAAGTTGTTTGAAATGGAGACCCTCATTGTCATTACCTATATTAGCAAATCTACATCGATCGCCTTCTTGAATAATTCTCTACAAATCTACAAAATTAATCTGGTATAACTTAAGGGAACTATTAATGGGAAGCTCTATGTGAAGTTCATTCATTCATCTATCTACTCGAGAAGTAGCAACAACAGTTTCAACAAGAAAATTCCCTCATCTTCCTTTGGATCTGCAAAAAAGAGGCAGCAACTGTAATTTATCAAACCTCAACACAGAACAACAAGCAATTAAAAAGTGTCTCATATTGGTTTAAACAAAAAGTAAAAGTGGACTATTAGAACAGGACACAAGGCTTGATTTCTCTTCATAAAAGGAAGCCAAAATCAACCAAATAAACCAATCATAGCTAATTTCAGAATACAATATAAACACTCGCCAATCTACATATCTAAAGCCACAATTACCCAAGGACAATAGAAAGCAGTTACACAAACAATAGAAAACCACAACACCACCAGACTCACCATTATCACAAACAGAGATCCAATTTATATCGTGCTGCATCAGCAAGGACAACCTGTGCTAGGGCGGTAGCACCCTAGCAGCAGTAACCTGACCCCAAGAGACCCTTCCCTTCTCACCTCCAATCTCATTAAGAAGGACGAGCTCACGGTATTTCCCTGTTCCTCTCTGAGATCAAAATTCCCAAAAAAAAAAAAATCAAGCCAACAGTTAAAATAAAAATCCATGTTCTCCAAATTGAAATCAAGAAAGAAAATCCTAAATAAAAGACGATCCTTACCTATAAGAAACCGTCAGTTCTCATTTCATCATCGTCATCGCGGTCTGAGACTCTTCGCCTCCATCTCCAATGACTGCTATCTCCTTCTTGTCCCCTAGATCGATGCCTTTTTGGGGTCGTTTAGGGTTGTCGGGGCAGGGGGTAATCTTTGCTCTATGTCCAGACAGGACATTCCGAGGCGGAGGTGGTCATGGCTGTCGCATGGATGGAGCAGTGGGGAAAAGTTATGTTTGGGCCACTTGTGAGAAGAGGAGATGAGACTCGGATCAGGGAGAAGACAGTAAGGCTTGATTTTATTTTCTAGATATGTGAATCGAGAAGCAAAGAACGAGAGAGAGATGGTTTAAGGTTTTGGCCCTTTTGGGTCATTAAGATTTAAGAGTGAAGGAAGATAATTAAAAGCAGGAAGTTCTCATTCTCAACTAGAGCAAAATGAGAGGATGGAAATTGAAGAGTGAGGCGGCTAGGGCAAGTGAGAGTGACCTACTGGCCTCTCAATTTTAGAAGGATAAGATATGGACGGAATATTTTCACTTTTGGAGGGAGGAGAAAATTTTCAGAGTATTGCATCCGGGGGCAGAAGTAAATTTTGAGCGGGACTGAAAAGTGTGAGAGGTAAAACCCCCCAAATAAAATAGTAAAATACATTTTCATTTAGTGTTGGTTAACACTTTTTTATACAAACATTCTATTAAATAATTTTTAAAAATTCATGTTTAATTTTTAAATTTTTTAATCTTTTGGATGGTAAAAGTTTCATTTTTATTCATGTCAAGAAAGCCACATTCCCTTAATAAATTTAATTATTTGAATATAAATCGATTTGTTTCAATATTATGTGAGTTGCCTACTCAACACAAAATTCCGACGTAAAACTACCGAGACTCGTTAACATCATCATCGGTGAACATCATCACATTGGCTAAAAATCCTGAAAAATGTTTGAATTAGTGTAATAAAAATGTGTACGTTGTAGTAACAAGTCATAAGTAACTAACTCGATGCGTTGAACGGAACAGTTCGCAACCCGAGTATAGGGTATATGTTATCTAGTAGAGTTATTATTGAAGTCACAACAATTCTACTGACCTTGATAAATTATATTTGATTGTTCGTTAGGGCATAGAGCATATGATTAGGTTATATGCTAGAGATGGTTTAGGGCATAGGGTATTGATAGTTTGAACGGTTCTAAGTTTTTATTAACATATGTTCACTTGAAGTTATTTGAAGTTTTAATTCATGTTTATGATACGTGGTTAGCGTATAGGGTATATGGTGTAGGGTATATGATTTATGGTTAGGGTATAGCAAATATCAAGTTTTTATCTATGTTTTTAAATTAAAAGTATGACTTTCACTTTAAACTAACAATAGTAGCAAAATCGCAACTCATAAGAATATATGGTTAGGGTATAGGGTATGTGGTTAGTGTATATGGTACATGATTAGTGTATAATGTATTGATGGATTAGGGTATACGATCAAACAATATATACTAACTTAATATTGTCGATTGAGGGTAAGGGTTGAGTGTATAGGATATGTTATTGAGTAAGTTATGATTGAATTCATAATAATTTTACTAGATTTGATAGTTAATCTTCAATGGTTCAATATTTAGGGTAATTTGAACAATTTTACAATTACGATTAATTACATAACAAGTTTGCAAGTCATACAAAATGATTCAATATCTTGACTATCTTTTTTTTAAATTAAGTATATATAAGAGGTAGAAATAAATTGGTTAAAATTTGTGAAAATATTTTAAACTAGTGTAATAAAATGTGTAAATTGGTAACGAGTAAAGAGTAAGTAACTCAATGCACTAACCCGAACAACCCGCAACCCGCTCGACCCGCAACCCGTTTGAACCCGAACCCGATGAACCCGCAACCCGACTAACCCGCAACCCGTTTGAACCCGAACCCGATGAACCCGCAACCCGATGAACCCACAACCCGACTAACCCGCAACCCGATTGAACCCAGCCCGAACTCGCTCGATTGGCACCTATAGAAGTTATAGATGTCAGTTTTTAGTTATGTATGGTTTTGGACTTAAAAGAGCTCTTTTTCTTTGCTAAGGTGCATGGATGGAAGAATAAGGTTTGATTCACTTTCTAGCCTAGGCAATCCCCTAGATAGCCCTAATCTATAAAGCTTCCAAGAATGTCCTAGTTTTCTATGCAATTCAAGATGATCTATGTTTCCAGCAAGCAAACATTTTGCATGGCAACTTCATTCTCAAAAAGATTATTGCATATATCCGCTCTAGTGGTCTACCTACCAATATTTAATTATATATATGCAATTGCAAATGAATTGCGTTGATGTAATTACATTTACATTAATATGAGTTAGATTGCAAAAAATATTTATGTGGCAATAAAATCATCTATGCAATTAATTTTGCAATTGTATTGACGTGGATACTCTAACACATAAAGGGTTAGCACAATGGTTGTCATGACGACATCCTATTGGTCGGTTCAGCAGGAAACAACTAGTACCGGTCACCAAGCAAGTTGGAAAGGGATCGGTAATTAGTATTACTCAAAACCGGCTAGTCATACCAGAATTCGGATTTCAGTATTTTCACACATTCTCCAAAAATAAACACACAACATAAGATTTGAACTAAATCCCTTATGTTCACTAGTTTCAATTATGCACCAAAAGGCTACAATGGACTTTGTGATTTATATTAACCTTATATATTATATAGCTAGTAATATATTTTACATAAATTATTGTAAATATTAATAAAATTCATTTTATATACATTTATTTTTTACATATCTAATTATTTACTGAGTTACGAATTCCTAACTATAAATTATTTTATGTGAATGAACTCATCTAATTGCTTCTTCCTAACTAATTTATTTAGTGTTGATGATTTTTCACTTTTCTCATGTATTCCATTAAAACCGACATAATCACATAAATCAATTATACCACCGTTCGTATCATTCCACTTGTCAAAAAGATAATGATATTAACAGGTTTGATAACCTTGATTAGCACCCAATCCAGTTCCCGTTAGAGGTCTCTTTTCTTGATTTTCTCGTTTTGGCCACTTCTCCTTGTGTCGGGCTTTTGTTGCCTGCTTGGTACTTCCTTGCTTTCTGATTTGGGTCGAACCCAGGGGCGGAGCTAGCATGGAAAGGGGGTGTGCCACGACACCCCCTTGGCTTGGGTAATGGGCCATCAACAAGACAAAATGGGCATATTTAGTAGTGAACCCGCCTATAATAGTGATATGGATGGAGTTGCTTTGGGAAAAAATTCACATTTTTATCAACTTAAAATAAAGATTAATATTTTATTAGAAAATTCATAAAAATAACTAATAAGTCAAAAATTAATATCTTAAATTAATTTCTAATTAAGTAGTTGACTGACTTTACTAGATGAAAACAATTATCATTATTTGAAGTTAAACGAGAGTAAAAAATAAAAAAAAATTACATGATACAGTACAAATGAAATTCTTGATAGATAACTTTTTCAAAATAAGAAAAGGTCATGATAGATTTTTTACCGGACCCCTTGCTTCAAATCCTGGCTACGCCACTGGTTGGACCCTAAGCAAATTATCTACTGGACCAATAACTTTGTTCACCCGATTTTGTCTTCGAGTCTGTAGCCGTTTTCAGATTTGGTTTAGGCTGTTGGTCCGCGTTTAGGTCCAATTTTTCTTGTGCCCAATAGGTGGCTCCTCTACTTGCAGGGACAACTCACTTCCTCCCGAGTGAATCTAGATTCTTGAACATGTTTTGATCTTATAATAACCGGCGAGTTGTATCCATAGATGTTGTAACATCGATCGAAACTTATTACAATTAGAAGCCTTCAATTCTAGGAACTAAATATTGAAAACACATTCATAATTAAGAAAGGAATTGCGAGGCTGAGTATTCTTACAATAATGTAGGTTAGGGATGACAACTTTGACCTAACACATTTTATCCGATCTATTTGACATGTTTTGGAGTGAATAATATCCATGGTACTCTCCTCGGTCTGAATGATATGTAATTTTACTTAAACTAATTAGGATTTAAATTTTATGGCCTCATATTTTAGCAATAATAAAGTTTTAAATATGCATGAATCTCAATTTCTTGAATAATTTAAATACACTTATCATATCCTTGAATAGTTTTAGATTTGAATCACATAATAAATTATCTTACCTAATATGGACGAACAAATATAGATATGCATATAATCGTCGTCAATTTCTAATGCTGAATGGACTGATGATGCAGTGATAAGTCCAAGGTTGTCATCTCGCGGGTCGAACCACCGGTTGACTCATTTTGATCTTGACCTGGTGAGAAAAATGGGCCACAACCCCGTCGGGTCGACCGCTGCAAGGTACCGAATTGGAGGTCAAACTATGTCTTTTTTTCCTTTGGTTTGTAAAATGCTCCTATTTTCCGATTTTTCTTTTCTCCTAACCTAATCTTTGAGATTCTAAGTTGAACATTTTAATATTCATGTTATATATGTGTGTGTGAATTTTCACTATATGTTGGATGCAAGTACAAAATGTTATTTTTGCGTAATGTTACATGTTATTACTCATATGTTATATGAGATTTAATATAATTTATAGATGTTTAATAATATAATGTATTTTCATATAGTCGAGCTAAACCGAACTAAAACGGACAATTAACCCTCAACCCATTTGCTCGACCGATCCAATTTGCTAAACAGGGTTGACAACTTTAAATTAGTCGAAATTGTTGAAGTTGAGTAATGGAGCTTGAATTTTGAAACAATGATACCGCCAGAGTTTTGTTGCTTGAATTGTTAATTTATTGTTATCAACAATTGGAGCATGAGTTTTAATAAGTATTTTATTTGTATCTCAATTTAATTAGGCTTTTAGCCCCAGACAGTAGCGGAGCAGATGAGTAAACAAAAGGTCTAAATAGTCCTTCCGCTCTATGCGCATAAGCAAGAAAAAATTGGATTGGGTGTGCGCTTAAGGATAATCTCCATATATAATTTGTAGGATGTAGGATAGGATGTAGGAAGGATGTTTTGATCTTATAATAACCGGCGAGTTGTATCATTGTTAGACTAGAGTTGGATTCACAAGTTTACGAAGGCGAAAAAAAAAACATTATATCAAGTTATGTTGTCGAAAGAAAACAAAAAGATGGTCCAGGGTAATGAAAACAATGCAGGCCTTAAAAGTTCCGGCACCTCATTTCCTTTTCCTTTCACATAAATCTATGTTCATTGTTCTATGTTGGAGAAATGAGAAATCTAACTTTCTTACACATTTTCTATAGCAGGGAATGGAGTCGGCCGTTACCCACATACACACTGCAGTTTGACCTGTAACTAAATTGTTTCCTCTCCCAGTCCAGCTATATATACATACATCCGCATCTCGATCTCTACATTCCTTCATCCTGCCTTCCTTCTACATCTTCAACACAGCTTCCATTCCCAAGTAACGAGATACAACAAACATGGCTGCTGCCTTGTTAAAGACGATCACTTTGTTCGCTCTGTCTTCCCTTCTGATCCTTAACGGAGCCATCGGCGATCTGATATGCGAGGAGTTGCCAGTAGAGCTGTGCGCCTACTCGATCTCGGACACAGGGAAAAGATGCGTGCTGGAGAACTACTTGGCCAGGAAGGGGATGGTGAAGTACCAATGCAAGACATCGGAAGTGGTGATGGAGACGATGAGCGGATGGATCGAGACGGAAGCATGCATCAACGACTGCGGCCTTGACAGAAACGTCGTTGGGATCTCTTCTGATTACCTTCTCTCCCCAAACTTCGTTGCCAAGCTCTGCTCCCAGCCGTGTTTCAGAAACTGCCCCAACATCCTCGATCTCTACTCCAACTTGGCTCAAGCTGAAGGTAACATATTTTGTACATAATTACTTACCTACACAACAAGTCCCTGCTATGTTCTAAACCAGACGCTGAAAATATTACGACTTAATTATATTTGTTGGTGTGACTGCTGCAGGAATGAACTTGCATGATATCTGCAGCAGGGGAAATGCTGTTTCTCGTCGCGCATTGTACATTTTGCCCAAGAGTTCAGGCGGTGCTGATGGTGGTGCTGCAGGAACTTCTGGGGAAGGAAATGGAGCAATTGGAAGCCCAGTCGGTTCTCCTCTGTCTTCCCCTGCTTTTCCTTTTGCGGATGATGGTTCTACTACTGCATTTGCTCTTTCGCCTGACAGCTTCTGAGATATTGTGTATTTACGGACTCTATTTCAGTATCATTTCTCATGTACAGATGTATCTTTTTGGAACAACTTTAGGTTTTACTCTTCGATTGTTATCTCATTTGAATTACACTTGTCTTGTCTAATAAATTTTATTTATACATATTCGCTTCTAATTCGAGTCCTTTCACGATTTATTTATACTTATCATCGTTACATATTGTAATGGAGCATTTCGATCACCAATGACTAGTTCCTTCAAACGACGTTCTTGGACGTTTAGCGCAAGGTGGAGTCTTTGGTTGAGTTGAGTTGATTTGAGAAGAGATTGACGGATCATTAAAGACATCCTCAATTCGCTCATTGAAGGAAGCACTATTTTCGTTCGGTGCACTATCATTCTCGATGAAAGTATGAGTTACATTAAATACTACACGAATAGATTCATCTACCTTAAAGGCACATTTATCCAACACTCTATATATACGTTTTACTTCTATTCGAATATCCAAGAAAAATCATTCATGAGATTTGACTCAAGCTTCATTCGGTTATCTTTTGTACGTAAAGAGTAGCATATACACTAAAGAGATGTAAACAACAAAGATTTGCACCATTGTATGGACCTCTTCCTCATTGAACCTAATCAAAAGAATCTTCAAAGTATAGAGTCCATTTAAGTTGTTAAAGAAAGAGGGAGAAGAAAAACACTCATAACAAATGTGGGAGAGCCTAGAGGATAGCTTTTAGCAAGGTCTTCTTTTCTCCCAGAGAAAGAAGTACGCTCTTACACGAATCAGCCTTTTTCATCCTTTCTAATAAGAAGGAGAAAGTCTCTTTCGTAGAGCGCCCCACTCCGAAGGCACTCCCTAGTATTTTTCATGACAAATCGAGGGGGAGAAGTCACAATGAGAAGTGATTAGTTCTTGTTATGCAGTTGGGGTGTTCTTGCTGAAGAAAATAGAGGACTTTGCCTCATTAATTTCTTGCTCTATAATGCTTCCATAATTCTTGAGAAGATTGATTATATGGAAAACTTTAAATTTCTCATGATAGCTTTACTAAAAATCACGATATCGTTAGCAAACGATCAATGAGAGATGGTTGTGCAGTTCAGATTAAGCTTGATAGCCTGAATACCTCATTTATCAACTCCTTTTTGGATGAGAAAGGACAAGGCATTAGACAAAAGGATGAAAACGAAAGGAGACATCGAGTCTCCTTGACGAATACCACGAGTAGGTTGAAACATCTCGGAAGGACTCCCGTTAAGTAAGACTGCGAAGCAAACTATTTGAATGCATTGGCTTATCCACCCTATCCATGTTTGGTTAAACCCATACGCAACCAGGATAGCCCCAAGACAGTCCCAATCAACAAGATCATAGCCTTCCTCAAGTCAAGTTTCAACATCATATCCCAATTGCTACCCTTTAGACATTTAAATTAATGCAGAACCTCATCGACTATGATTACGTTGTCTTGGATCATTCTACCTCCTGTAAATGCAGTTTGCACCTCTGTTACTAGCTCTGCCATACGACCTTTCAATCGACTAGTCATTTATTCTCATCTAGCTCCTCGCGAATGAAATGCTTAAAAATAAATATGAGATTAGTAAATAATATAATATACAAAATTATTTTTTTATTAAAAAAATTAAAACGTTGTGTATTTAGTATAAACTTGTATTGTATATTTTTTCTATTTCTATATAAACTTGTATTGTATTTCGTGTACTTGTATTGTATTTTTTTTTCTATTAGTAAAATGCGCTATTTGAAACTCAACCGATCCACGATTAGTAACTGACATGAATGAAATTTTTGTATCATACAAAGAAATTTTTTCTTATCGGTAATAATAAATAAAATAATATCAGATCATTTTTATTCCGTATACATATTAATTAATCTTCGACTAAACTTCATTTCCTCTGGAATATGGAATGAAAAAGAATAGATGATCTTAGACAACATTTTATACCTAAAGTTGCGATAACTAATTGGTCTGAACTATTTCATCATATCAGGAACTTTCACTTTAGGTATGAGCGCAATGTGCATGTTGTTCCATCCATGAGACATTATCGAAAAAGTAAGAATTCATGGACTTCCTTACAAAAGTCGTCTATTCCTAGACCATAATTTTCGAAAGAACAAACCAACAAACCCATCTAGCCCAGGCGATTTGTTCTGGTCGAGATCAGACAGCGTTTTTTGAATCTTGGTGCATTATAATTTCCGCCAGCCACCTAGGATATTATTATTATTATTAGTCTTTCAGTGGGCTCGCTTTTCCCAACCCTAGCGGATCGGGGTTCGGCGATCAAGGGCCAGGAATGGGGCCGCCTCCAGGACCGATGGGCCACATGAATGGGCCGACTGGGTCGTGGATGGGGAATGGAGCTGGGCCGAGTGCATGGACTGCGATTGGGGGAGGCGTGAGTTGGACCAGGCCGAGGGTTCCCTGGGCCGCGCAAGGAGCTGGGAGTTGCAGGGCTGGGCCGCGGCCTCCTCCTGGGCTGGAACAGGGCGGGCCGCCACTAATGGGCGGGTTCTCAACTGCTAGGCCAGCTGGGCCTTACTCGGGTGGACCAACTGGGTTTGCCTAACCCATGGTGAACATGGGTCAGTTTGAAGAACCGGGTCAACCAATGTTCCGGGTGCGAATTGCTCCGCTGGAGTTTCCAAAGTTTACTGGAAAGGAAGATCCATCTGGATGGGCCTTCCGCGTGGAGAAATATTTCCGCTACCAGTGTATCCCCGAGGAGCAGAAAGTGGCGCTGGCCACTTATTATATGGAGGGCGACGCGAACCAGTGGGTTATGTGGATGGAAGAAGAGTTCGCGTAGCGCGGGATAGTCATGACTTGGGGAAATCTGTGCGCCGAGTTATGGAGAAAGTATGGTTCGTCGGAGAAGTCGTTCGGGCATGAGGCGCTAGCCAAAATTCGTCAAACTGGCTCTGTCGACGATTACCAGCAAACTTTTGAGAAATTATTGAATCGCTGCCGCGGGTGGACTGAGGTCCCGATTATGGGATCATACATGGGCGGATTAAAGCCAGAAATATCCGCCTATATTCGATCTTTCAATCCCCATTCGGTTGGAGAAGCGTATCGACTGACTAAGATACGCGAGGAGGAGTTGCGCTTGGAGAGGGGAGCAACGAGGACTGCACCGCGGACTGCCACCACCGACGCGACTTGGGCGCCACCACCTGCTGCTCCAGTTGCACCGCCAGCTGCGGGACGAGCACCACCACCACCGTCAAGGAGGATCATTCGCAACCTGTCACCGTCGCGACGGGCTGTGCTATAATTACGATGAGAGGTTCACATATGGGCATCACTGCGCAAATACGAACGTCTTCGTTATGATCGGTGACTTCAAGGACGAGGATGGAGGAGAAGAGGAGAAAGAAGGCAACCTCGGGGACGAGGTTGTTTAAAGAGGGGGGGGGGGGGTTGGTGCATTATAATTTCCGCCAACCACCTAGGATATTCTTATTCTTATTATTATTATTAGTCTTTCGTATTATTATTAGTTTGGATATTCGGTTGTTATTTGATTATTCGTATTATTATATTATGTCTTGTCAAGGAATTGTTTACTAGTCGGTTTGGGATTGGGTTTCGTTGTCTTAAGGGGAAAGGGGTTTGTGGGACTTGTCCTATAAATATGTACCTTTGCTCTTCGTTTTATTCATTCGATCAATAAAGTCTAATAGTTTAGTTGTAATTTAGTTATCTTCATCGCATTCTTAGTTCGTTCGTTAGAGAGATCGAGTTCTACGACGCGTGAGAATCTATCACTCGCCAAATCTCTTCCAATGTTGCAATTCGACATAATTCCACATTGATTTGGTCTTAAACAAGCTTAGGGAAATCCTAAAGGAAGGACTGGTCATGCTCCGGAATAATTCGAGTAAGCAGATTCTTGAAGTAATCACTGACATGATTGGAGATCTCATCAGGTTAATTAAACTCATTTCCCTGCTCATTTTTTAGGAATACAACCTTATTCCTTTGCTTCCCATAGATAGTAGAGGTATGAATTTTTTTTGTGCTTTGATCCCTAACCAATTTATTTGGTGTTGATGATTTTTCACTTTTCTTATGTATTCTAATAAAACCAGTATAACTAGTTTTTATCATTAATTTATTTGTTCTTTGGTTTCCTCTTTCTGTTTTGGGTAGGGGATGGGCAATGGGTGGGTCAACCGCTAGACCCACCCAAATCCACCTGATTATAACACACCCATTACATGTTTGGGTCGATGTGGTGGGTGGTTGTTGGTCATCTTTTTTGTCACCCACTAAATTTGGGTCGGTGGCGGATGAATAGTGGGTGGGTAGCGGGTGGGTCATTACCCGCAAAATCACAAGAAATATTAAGTCGTTGATGCACATTTTTTAATAATACACTCCTTTTTTTATCCCAAACGTTAATCGCAATTGTAAGAAGTAAGCTCTTACACGAATCATCCTTTTTTCATCCTTTCTAATAAGAAGGAGAAAGTCTCTTTTGTAGAGCGCCCCACTCAGAAGGCACTCCCAAGTATTTTTCATGACAAATCGAGGGGGAGAAGTCACAATGAGAAGTGATAAGTTCTTGTTATGCAGTTGGGGTATTCTTGCTGAAGAAAATAGAGGACTTTGCCTCGTTAATTTCTTGCACTATAATGCTTCCATAATTCTTGAGAAGATTCATTATATGGACAACTTTTCTCATGATAGCTTTACTAAAAATCACGATATCTTTAGCAAACGATCAATGAGAGATAGTTATGCAGTTCAGATTAAGCTTGATAGCCTAAATACCTCATTTATCAACTCCTTTTTGGATGAGAAAGGACAAGGCATTAGACAAAAGGAGACATCGAGTCTCTTTGACGAATACCACGAGTAGGCTGATACATCTCAGAAGGACTTCCGTAAAGTAAGACTGAGAAGCCAACTATTTGAATGCATTGGCTTATCCACCCTATCCATGTTTGGTTAAACCCATACGCAACCAGG